AGAGTGTATAAATCTGTAGGAGAAGGAAGGCGGGGTAGGGGTCGTCCTCGAAAAGGTTAGAGGTTTTGTGGGCGAGGGGCTTATACTTCCAGCAAGCGTGCGTGAGCGTGTTAGATATGAGTGAATGGAGACGAATGGTATTTTGGTCCTGACGAGCTGTTGGAGTGTGAGCAGGGTAATATTTAGTGAAGGGATTCAGGGAAACTGGTTATTTTTAATATAGGCGGACTTGAGTCCTGGAAATGGGAAGTACAATCCCTGCACTTCAAAGGAGGGGTTTGGGATATTGGCAGTTTGGAGGGATATGTTATGTATCTTTATATGTATATGCTTCTAAACTGTTGTATTCTGAGCACTTCTGCAAAAACAGTGATTATGTGTGAGTGAGGTGAAAGTGTTGAATGATGATGAAAGTACGTATTTTCTTTTGGGTGATTTTCTTTATTTTTTGGGTCACCCTACCTCGGTGGGAGATGGCCGACATGTTAAAGAAAAAAAAATATTATGTATCATTATTGCCTCTGCTATTTAACAATTTCCTTCCCTAGCCTGATCAGTTGCTCTGGTGGACTCTAAAGTAATCTTCACCCTCAACTCATCTCTGGAACTCTCCTTTGCTACTCTTAATTAGGCTTTTGCTCTATTCAGTTGCAAATCAGTCACAAGCATTTACAAGTTTGAATTTACTATAAATGTGGAATAACTTAGTAGTTTACACTTTAACAAGTTGACCATTGATTCTATGGTATGAGCATGTGTGATTACGATGCTAGTATTTTATTCATCACAAACAGGCTGCACTATAAAAAATATTACTGAATGCTAATGATAACTTATGTTACTGTTAAACATAAGTATGAGTATGAGCATGCGTGATTACGATGCTAGTATTCATCACAAACAGGCTGCACTATAAAAAATATTACTGAATGCTAATGATAACTTATGTTACTGTTAAACATAAATATCTTTAAAGACATATACTCTGGCCACATTATTAGGTATACCTGTCTAGTACTGGGTAGGGCTTCTCTTTGCCTCCAGAATAGCCTGAATTTTTCATAACATGGATTCAGCAAGGTCCATGTTGACATGATAGCATCATGCACTTGCTGCAGATTTGTCAACTGCACATTCATGCTGTGTATCTTCTGTTTCACTCCATATCATAGGTTAAAGGTTTATGCTGAATTCTAATCCTACCATTTGCATGTTGCAACAGAGTTCATGATTTGTCAGACCAGGTGATGTTTTTCTACTTCAAATGTCCAGTTTCAAATGTTTCAGTCTCCTGTTCTTAGCTGACAGTCGTGGAACCTGGTGTAGCCTTCTGCTGTCCCATCCACTTCAAGGTTTGATATGTTGTGCCCTCAGAGATGCTCTAATCTATACCAATGTTGTAAAGTGTGGTTATTTGAGTTGGTGTCACCTTTCTGTCAGCTTGAACCAGTCTGGCCTTTTTTCCTCAGACCTCTCTCATTATCAAAGCATTTTTATCTACAGAATTGATCACTGGATGTTTTGTGTTTTCCACTCCATTCTTTGCAAACTGTTGTGCATGAAAATCCCAGGATATCAGTAGTTTTTGAGATACTTAACCCTTTCAGGGCTGGCAGGCCCTCTCCTAAACTTGTTCTCAGGGTCGGAAATTTTTCGAAAAAAAAAATTCTTATGAAATGATAAAGAATCTTTTCCTGATCATAAGGACACCAAAAGTATGAGATTTGATGGGAAAACTTACAGAATTATGCTGTCCCGAATTTAGCGCTCTCGACGATGTTTACGCATTGGCGATTTCACCTACTTTGAGCCCTATTTTCAGCCAATTCCAATGTACTAGTTGACAAAAATCATAACTATTTTGCTAGAACTCCATTTTTTCTATCGAATGAGTACAAGAAACCACCCATTTACCAATTTCTACTATCCAATAAAGTGGTTCAAAATTGGCAATTTTGCCAATTTCACACAAATTTCAAAAGATGCCAATTTCGAAATAGGGTCCAGAATAAACAAGACAGATATTTCTGGCACTAAAGTAACATTTCCTCTGTTCATTAGTCATGTACCCAGGCCTCTGTTACATTTCTTTTGCTTTCCACTTTGATTTTTTATTCTCGCAAAAAGTAGAAGATTTACTGTTTTGCAGACTACTGCATTAGTGTAGAATTGGTGTATAAATGGTATAAATAATATCAGTGCATTTGTGAAAGAATATTAGACTCACCAGTTGATGTGTATTGGACGCATGGCTTGATTTATTTACTTTTGAAGTTTGGCAAAAATCGAACATTTCTTCTTTGAGCTCAGTTTCAAGGTGTTTTTCATTGTGAAACCAATAAAAATCACCTCAATTTCTGTAATATGTCTTCCATTCTATAAAATGACACCAGGTAAACTAGAATACAACCATAAATAGCATAGAAAAATACACTGCAAAGTCGCTTTTTAAACCGAAAACATGGTTGTAGTTTTTTTTTTCTCTATGCACTGTGTGCTGCAGGATTTTCTTTTATACTGCACACACTGACCACATAGACCCATACTTTCATATGTAGGCCTACCAGCTTTCTCTTGCTAGATTTGAAGGCGCCAGAATTTGTGCACTAGTATGGCACCAACCCTGGCATGCAAGCCGTACTAGTACGGCACCAACCCTGAAAGGGTTAAACCACCTTGTCTGCCACCAACAATCTTTCTATGGTTAAAGTCACTTAGATCACATTTCTTCCCCATTCTTACGTTAGGTCTGATCAACAGCTGAACCTCTTGACTGTTTGCATTCTTTAAAAGGCATTGAGGTGCTGCTGTCTGGTTAGCTGATTAGATATTTGCATTAATTAACAAGCATGTGTACAGGTGTAACTGATAAAGAGGCCACTGAATGTATGTTGGGGATTAAGATGTACTCTTTGTGTCTCATGCAAGAGTGTGCAGTTTGTGGATGTACAGGATTTTGAAGAAAACTAATGTAAATTTACAAAACTTGCTCAGTGGTGAAAAGGCAAGTTTTTTTTTTTTTTTTTTTTTTAACACTTGCCATCTCCCATCAAAGCAGGGTGTCCCCCCCCCCCCCCCCCCCCAAAAAAAAAAAAAAAAAACTTTCACCATTATTCACAGTCACTGTCTTCGCAGAGGCACGCAGATACGCTGTCACTAAGCAGCAAGTATCTCGAACCCCTCCTTGAAGTTCAGGCACTATATTTCCCATTTCCAGGATGCGAGTCCAGCTAATCAGTTTCCCTGAATCCCTTCACAAAATATTACCCTGCTCACACTCCAATAGCTCATCAAATCCCAAAAACCATTTGCCTCCACTCCTATCTAATGTGCCTACACATGACTTGTTTCAAGTCCAAGCCCCTTGCATGCAAAGCCTCTTTTACACCTCCCCTTCATCCTTTCCTAGGCAAACTATCAGTAAGTATAGGTATATATATATATATATGCACAATAAGCCTTTATTAGACACAAAAAAATAAAGTAATGAAGACTCAAGAAATCGTAATGACACGATTGCAAACAAACCATACCCCCGGCCGGGATTGAACCCGCGGTCATAGTCTCAAAACTCCAGCCCGTCGCGTTAGCCACTAGACCAGCTAGCCACAATAAGATTCATCCAACTAGGTATATTTCTACACCATAGGAAGGTTAGCACAGGCACCACTGTGACCACAAATGCAAGTTTTTACAGACGAATCTCCAGCTAGCGTGGCTGTGACGAACTCTAGCTCAAGTCCCTTCACTGCCGTCAACATGACTCAAGAAATCGTAATGACACGATTGCAAACAAACCATACCCCCGGCCAGGATTGAACCCGCGGTCATAGAGTCTCAGAACTCCAGCCCGTCGCGTTAGCCACTAGACCAGCTAGCCACAATAAGATTCATCCAACTCATGTTGACGGCAGTGAAGGGACTTGAGCTAGAGTTCGTCACGGCCACGCTAGCTGGAGATTCGTCTGTAAAAACTTGCATTTGTGGTCACAGTGGTGCCTGTGCTAACCTTCCTATGGTGTAGAAATATACCTAGTTGGACGAATCTTATTGTGGCTAGCTGGTCTAGTGGCTAACGCGACGGGCTGGAGTTTTGAGACTCTATGACCGCGGGTTCAATCCTGGCCGGGGGTATGGTTTGTTTGCAATTGTGTCATTACAATTTCTTGAGTCATGTTGACGGCAGTGAAGGGACTTGAGCTAGAGTTCGTCACAGCCACGCTAGCTGGAGATTCGTCTGTAAAAGCTTGCATTTGTGGTCACAGTGGTGCCTGTGCTAACCTTCCTATGGTGTAGAAATATACCTAGTTGGATGAATCTTATTGTGGCTAGCTGGTCTAGTGGCTAACGCGACGGGCTGGAGTTTTGAGACTATGACCGCGGGTTCAATCCCGGCCGGGGGAATGGTTTTAAAGTAATGAAGGCTTGCTCTGCTATAAGTGTCTTTCTATTACCAAATCATATTCATGCTGTAATTGAATAATGTCAGCCAGATCAATTGGTGATTGATCCTTGTGATCCTTTATCCTTTTGCTTTTAGAAGATTTAGAAGTCATTTCAAATACTGGTGAAGCTTGGCTGGATGTGGTAAAAAAAAGGGGGGGGGGAGTTAAAAGTAGTTATAGGGTTAGTTTGAGGGCTAGAATTATGAAGGTAGTGAATGTACGTATTTAGGTATTTGGAAATGGATGTATTGGCAGGTGGGTTAATAGAAGACAAGGCAAATCATAGAATATTTTTATAAACACACTGGCTGTCTCCCACAAAGGTAGGGCGACCCGACATATAAGAAACATGCTCACTCACTACATCACTGTCATGCCAGAGGCAAGATGGATGCCAAAAGTAAAAACACCAAAGTATAATAAGTAGTTCTAACATTTGTGTGGTATGGGGTTACCAATCAGACAATAGTTTGTCTCTAGTGATGATGGATGGTGTGACTGATGAGCGTTTATAGATGATGTGTATACTTCTTACAGACGGTTTCTGTATTTTAGCTGGATAAGAAAACTCTAGAGAATGAAAAGGAGATGTTCAAGAAGCGGACACAGGAGCTTGTGGAAAAACTAAATCGTGCCAAACCTGAAGATTTTGTTAAGCTTCAGTAAGTTTTTATTATTTTCTTCGTATTAAAAATACACTTAATAATACACAAAATATAATGCTGCAGTACTGCATATCATTATTCAAAATGTTATGACTCAGATTTTTTACTATATTAACTAATTTCTCTTAATTTTCTAGCGCTTGTTTACTTGCCCTAGGATAGGATTGACAAGTTTCTGAACATTATAGTATTTTTAAATTTTTTATTAACTTATTGCTCTCATTCCCTTCATTTTTGTTTTGTTACTACTGTTATTTTTACTTATCAACCATCCACGAATCGGTAATTATTAAAGTTTTACGTGGTCATCTGGTGGTTATGAGACTTTTTTTTTTTTTTTTGTAAGCTTCCTTTTAAAAAAATTCCTCTCCTCTTGTGCTCTAATGTTATAGTTCCAGATTTTATTAAAACCTTTTGTTAAATTTTCCTTAAACCTATGTTTATGCATATCTTTACTTAAGGAACAGTGATTTAATCAGAATTTGTTGCCACACTCATCAGTATTTTTTTTTATTATGCTAATTTAAGTTACTGTGTCTTTACAGGCAAGAGGTAACAGAACAGCACAAGTCACTACAAAGCAAGGAAGCCGAAATTAATAGACTGAAAAATCAGGTATTGTCTCATTGTGATGGACCTTCTTTTTTTGATGACTTTGGCTGTAATGAGACATTCCCATGCCTGTTTTTGCACAGGGCTATGTATATTATTACCCAAGTCAACTGCAGTATTTATAATATTTGATGATTTCATTAAACTTCAGAATAACCCAATAAAGATTTTTTCGAAGAATATTTTCCCATTGCAGTGACTATCATTCACATCCTTTGTGAAATTAACCCTTTCACTGTCGAGACCTCTGATCCAGAAGTTCCTCTCTGTGTCGAAAAATATTTGAAAAAAAAAAAATGATACGTATTTTCTAATCAAAATCTTAAGAATATTTTTGTGAGTGTTTTAAAACAAATAAAAATTTTGCGATCACTACTTACCTAGATATAGAGGCGTGAAGTTGACAGTGAACCGCTTATGGCAACATTGGCAACTGCCTCTCGGTAATATTATTTTTACTTTTATTCTACTTTTTTCTTTTATTTTTTAATATTTTATTTTTTCAAGTAACTTTTGTGGCCTGTGAGAGCAGTATAATGTGTAATGCATATGTATCCACTCATTGTATGCAACACAATAACTACACAAATGTGGCTATCATTATAGTGGTTACAAAACCTGTTTACACAAACCAACAATAAAAAAAAGTTCTTTATTATTATTATTGTTCTATAATATTTATTTTTTCAACAAGTCGGCCATCTCCCACCGAGGCAGGGTGACCCAAAAAGAAAATACTTTCATCATCATTCAACACTTTCACCTCACTCATACATAACCACTGTTTTTGCAAAGGTCCCCAGATACAACAGTTTAGAAGCATTTTTTATTTTTTTTTATTATCACACTGGCCGATTCCCACCAAGGCAGGGTGGCCCGAAAAAGAAAAACTTTAACCATCATTCACTCCATATATATGTAAAGATATATAACATATCCATCCAAACTGCCAGCATCCCAAATCCCTCCTTTAAAGTGCAGGCATTGTACTTCCCATTTCCAGTATTAAAGTCTGGCTATATAAAAATAACCGGTTTCCCTGAATTTTTTTTTTTTTTTTTTTTCAACAAGTCGGCCGTCTCCCACCGAGGCAGGGTGACCCAAAAAAAAAAGAAAGAAAATCCCCAAAAAGAAAATACTTTCATCATCATTCAACACTTTCACCACACTCACACATTATCACTGCTTTTGCAGAGGTGCTCAGAATACAACAGTTTAGAAGCATATACGTATAAAGATACACAACATATCCCTCCAAACTGCCAATATCCCAAACCCCTCCTTTAAAGTGCAGGCATTGTACTTCCCATTTCCAGTATTAAAGTCTGGCTATATAAAAATAACCGGTTTCCCTGAATTTTTTTTTTTTTTTTTTTTCAACAAGTCGGCCGTCTCCCACCGAGGCAGGGTGACCCAAAAAAAAAAGAAAGAAAATCCCCAAAAAGAAAATACTTTCATCATCATTCAACACTTTCACCACACTCACACATTATCACTGCTTTTGCAGAGGTGCTCAGAATACAACAGTTTAGAAGCATATACGTATAAAGATACACAACATATCCCTCCAAACTGCCAATATCCCAAACCCCTCCTTTAAAGTGCAGGCATTGTACTTCCCATTTCCAGGACTCAAGTCCGACTATATGAAAATAACCGGTTTCCCTGAATCCCTTCACGAAACATTACCCTGCTCACACTCCAACAGATCGTCAGGTCCCAAGTATCATTCGTCTCCATTCACTCCTATATAACACGCTCATGCACGCTTGCTGTAAGTCCAAGCCCCTCTCCCACAAAACCTCCTTTATGCCCTCTTTCCAACCCTTTCGAGGACGACCCCTACCCCTCCTTCCTTCCCCTATAGATTTATGTGCTTTCCTTGTCATTCTACTTTGATCCATTCTCTCTAAATGACCAAACCACCTCAACAACCCCTCTTCTGCCCTCTGACTAATGCTTTTATTAACTCCACACCTTCTCATAATTTCCACACTCCGAATTTTTCTGCATAATATTTACACCACACATTGCCCTTAGACAGGACATCTCCACTGCCTCCAACCATCTCCTCGCTGCTGCATTTACCACCCAAGCTTCACATCCATATAAGAGTGTTGGTACTACTATACTTTCATACATTCCCTTCTTTGTCTCCATAGATAACGTTTTTTGACTCCACATATACCTCAACGCACCACTCACCTTTTTTTCCCTCATCAATTCTATGATTAACCTCATCCTTCATAAACCCATCCGCCGACACGTCAACTCCCATGTATCTGAAAACATTCACTTCTTCCATACTCCTCCTCCCCAATTTGATATCCAATTTTTCTTTATCTAAATCATTTGATACCCTCATCACCTTACTCTTTTCTATGTTCACTTTCAACTTTCTACCTTTACACACTTTCTCAAACTCATCCACTAACCTTAGCAATTTTTCTTTAGAATCTCCCATAAGCACAGTATCATCAGCAAAAAGTAACTGTGTCAGTTCCCATTTTGAATTTGATTCCCCATAATTTAATCCCACCCCTCTCCCGAACACCCTAGCATTTACTTCTTTTACAACCCCATCTTTTTTTTTTTTTTTTTTTCAACAAGTCGGCCGTCTCCCACCGAGGCAGGGTGACCCAAAAAAGAAAGAAAATCCCCAAAAAGAAAATACTTTCATCATTCAACACTTTCACCACACTCGCACATTATCACTGTTTTTGCAGAGGTGCTCAGAATACAACAGTCTAGAAGCATACACATATAAAGATACACAACATACCCCTCCAAACTGCCAATATCCCAAACCCCTCCTTTAAAGTGCAGGCATTGTACTTCCCATTTCCAGGACTCAAGTCCGACTATATGAAAATAACCGGTTTCCCTGAATCCCTTCACTAAATATTACCCTGCTCACACTCCAACAGATCGTCAGGTCCCAAGTACCATTCGTCTCATTCACTCCTATCTAACACGCTCACGCACGCTTGCTGGAAGTCCAAGCCCCTTACCCACAAAACCTCCTTTACCCCCTCTCTCCAACCCTTTCGAGGACGACCCCTACCCCGCCTTCCTTCCCCTATAGATTTATATGCTTTCCATGTCATTCTACTTTGATCCATTCTCTCTAAATGACCAAACCACCTCAACAACCCCTCTTCTGCCCTCTGACTAATACTTTTATTAACTCCACACCTTCTCCTAATTTCCACACTCCGAATTAACAACCCCATCTATAAATATATTAAACAACCATGGTGACATTACACATCCCTGTCTAAGACCTACTTTTACCGGGAAGTATTCTCCCTCTCTTCTACATACCCTAACCTGAGCCTCACTATCCTCATGAAAGCTCTTTACAGCATTTAGTAACTTACCACCTATTCCATATACTTGCAACATCTGCCACATTGCTCCTCTATCCACTCTATCATATGCCTTTTCTAAATCCATAAATGTAATAAAAACTTCCCTACCTTTATCTAAATGCTGTTCACATATATGCTTCAATGTAAACACTTGATCTACACATCCCCTACCCACTCTGAAGCCTCCCTGCTCATCCGCAATCCTACATTCTGTCTTACCTCGAATTCTTTCAATTATAACCCTACCGTATACATTTCGTGGTATACTCAGTAAACTTATTCCTCGATAATTTTTACAATCTCTTTTGTCCCCTTTCCCTTTATATAAAGGGACTATACATGCTCTCCGCCAATCCCTAGGTACCTTCCCCTCTTTCATACATTTATTAAACAAAAGTACTAACCACTCCAACACTATATCCTCCCCTGCTTTTAACATTTCTGTCATGATCCCATCAGTTCCAGCTGCTTTACCCCCTTTCATTCTACGTAATACCTCACGTACCTCCATCACACGTACATTCTGCTCTTCTTCACTCCTAAAAGATGGTATACCTCCCTGGCCAGTGCATGAAATTACCGCCTCCCTTTCTTCCTCAACATTTAAAAGTTCCTCAAAATATTCTCGCCATCTACCTAATACCTCCCTCTCCCCATCTACTAACTCCCCTACTCTGTTTTTAACTGACAAATCCATACTTTCCCTAGGCTTTCTTAACTTGTTTAACTCACTCCAAAATTTTTTCTTATTTTCATTAAAATTTCTTGACAGTGCCTCTCCCACTCTTTCATCTGCTCTCCTTTTGCACTCTCTCACCACTCTCTTCACCTTTCTTTTACTCTCCATATACTCTGCTCTTCTTATAATGCTTCTGCTTTGTAAAAATCTCTCGTAAGCTACCTTTTTCTCTTTTATCACACCCTTTACTTCATCATTCCACCATTCACTCCTCTTTCCTCCTGCCCCCACCCTCCTATAACCACAAACTTCTGCCCCACATTCTAATACTGCATTTTTAGAACTATTCCAACCCTCTTCAACCCCCCCACTACTCATCTTTGCACTAGCCCATCTTTCTGCCAATAGTCGCTTATATCTCGCCCGAACTTCCTCCTCCCTTAGTTTATACACTTTCACCTCCCTCTTACTTGTTGTTGCCACCTTCCTCTTTTCCCATCTACCTCTTACTCTAACTGTAGCTACAACTAAATAATGATCCGATATATCAGTTGCCTCTCTATAAACATGTACATCCTGGAGCCTACCCATCAACCTTTTATCCACCAATGCATAATCTAACAAACTACTTTCATTACGTGCTACATCATACCTTGTATATTTATTTATCCTCTCTTTCATAAAATATGTATTACTTATTACCAAATTTCTTTCTACACATAGCTCAATTAAAGGCTCCCCATTTACATTTACCCCTGGCACCCCAAATTTACCTACTACTCCCTCCATAACATTTTTACCCACTTTAGCATTGAAATCCCCAACCACCATTACTCTCACACTTGATTCAAAACTCCCCACGCATTCAAATCAACATTTCCAGAATCTCTCTCTCTCCTCTACACTTCTCTCTTTTCCAGGTGCATACACGCTTACTATAACCCACTTTTCACATCCAATCTTTATTTTACTCCACGTAATCCTTGAATTTATACATTTGTAGTCCCTCTTTTCCTGCCATAGCTTATCCTTCAACATTATTGCTACTCCTTCTTTAGCTCTAACTCTATTTGAAACCCCTGACCTAATCCCATTTATTCCTCTCCATTGAAACTCTCCCACCCCCTTCAGCTTTGTTTCACTTAAAGCCAGGACATCCAATTTCTTCTCATTCATAACATCCACAATCATCTGTTTCTTATCATTTGCACAACATCCACGCACATTCAGACTTCCCACTTTGACAATTTTCTTCTTCTTATTCTTTTTAGTAATCTTTACAGGAAAAGGGGTTACTAGCCCATTGTTCCCGGCATTTTAGTTGACTTTTACAACATGCATCGCTTACGGAGGAAAGATTCTTATTCCACTTCCCCATGGATATAAAAGGAAAAGTAATAAGACAAAGAACTATTAAGATAAAATCAAAGAAAACTCAGATGAGTGTGTATAAATAAACGTGTCCATGTATGTGTAGTGTGACCTATGTGTAAGTAGAAGTAGCAAGACATGCCTGTAATCTTGCATGTTTATGAGACAGACAAAAGACACCAGCAATCCTACCATCGTGTAAAACAATTACAGGCTTTCGTTTTACACTCACTTGGCAGGACTGTAGTACCTCCCTGGGTGGTTGCTGTCTACCAACCTACTAAATATTACCCTGCTCACACTCCAACAGCTCATCAGGTCCCAAAAACCATTCATCTCTATTCACTCCTATCTAACTTGTTAGATTTATAAGCTCTCTGTCATTCTACTTGGATCCATTCTTTCTAAATGACCACACCACCTCAAACCCTCTTCAGCCCTCTGACTAATACTTTTATTAACTCCACACTTTCTCTTAATTTCCACACTTTGAATTTTCTGCATAATATTTACACCACACATTGCTCTTAGACAGGACATCTCCACTGCCTCCAACTGCCTCCTCACTGCAGCATTTACTACCCAAGCTTCACACCCATATAAGAGTGTTGGTATACTTTCATCCATTTCCTTCTTTGCCTCCATAGATAATGTTTTTTTGTCTCCACATATACCTCAACGCACTCAACCTTATCCACTCTATCATACGCCTTTTCTAAATCCATAAATGCAATGAAAACTTCCCTACCTTTATCTAAATACTGTTTACATATATGCTTCAATGTAAACACTTGATCTACACATCCCCTAACCACTCTAAAGCCTCCTTGCTCATCTGCAATCCTACTGTCTGTCAATCCTACTGTACACTTTTTTTTTTCTCTCTCTCAACAGGTCGGCCGTCTCCCACTGAGGCAGGGTGACCCAAAGAGAAAGAAAATCCCCAAAAAGAATATACTTTCATCATCATTCAACACTTTCACCTCAATCACACATAATCACTGTTTTTGCAGAGGTGCCCAGAATGCAACAGTTTAGTAGTATATACGTATAAAAATACACAATATCTCTCTTCAAACTGCCAATATCCCAAACCCCTCCTTTAAGAGTGCAGGCTTTGTACTTCCCATTTCCAGGACTCAAGTCCGGTTATATAAAATAACCTGGTATACTCAGTAAACTTATTCCCTTATAATTTTTAGTCTCTCTTGTCACCCTTCCCTTTATATTAAGGACCCATACATGCTCTCTGCCAGTCCCTAGGTACCTTCCCCTCTTTCATACATTTATTAAACAAGAAAACCAACCACTCCAAAACTATATATACCCCTGCTTTTAGCATTTCTGTCATGATCACGTCAGTTCCAGCTGCTTTACCCCCTTTCGTTCTACATAATGCCTCTCGCACCTCACACTCACATCGTGCTCTTCTTCACTCCTAAAAGATGTCATACCTCCGTGACCAGTGCATGAAATTACTGCCTCCCTTTCTTCAGTGACATTTAAAAGTTCCTCAAAATATTCCTGCTATCTACCCAATACCTCCAGCTCCCCATCTACTAACTCCCCTACTCTGTTTTTAACTGACAAATCCATTTGGTCCCTAGGTTTTCTTAACTTGTTTATCTCACTCCAAAATTTTCTCTTGTTTTCATCAAAATTTCTTGACAGTGCCTCTCCCACTCTATCATCTGCTCTCCTTTTGCACTCTCTCACCACTCTCTTCACCGTTCTTGTACTCTCCATATACTCTGCTCTTCTTATAACACTTCTTCTTTGTAAAATCCTCTCATAAGCTACCTTTTTCTCTTTTATCACACCCTTTACTTCATTCCACCAGTCACTCCTCTTTCCTCCTGCACCCACCCTCCCTATAACCACAAACTTCTGCCCCACATTCTAATACTGCATTTTTAAAACTATTCCAATCCTCTTCAACCCCCCCTCCCCCCTCCCCCCTCCCCCCTCCACTACTTATATTTGCACTAGCCCACGTTTCTGCCAATAGTTACTTATATCTCACCCTAACTTCCTCCTCCCTTAGTTTATACACTTTTACCTCTCTCTTACTTGTTGCCATTTTCCTTTTGTCCCATCTACCTCTTACTCTAACTGTAGTTACAACTACATTATGATCCAATATATCAGTTGCCCCTCTATAAACATGTACATCCTGAAGCCTTCCCAGTCAATTTTTTATCCACCAATACATAATCTAACAAACTACATGTACTTTCATTACGTGCTATATCATTCCTTGTATATGTATTTATCCTCGTTTTCCTAAAATATATATTACTTATTACCAAGCCTCTTTCTACACATAGCTCAATTAAGGGTTCCCCATTTTCATTTACCCCTGGCACCCCAAATTTACCTACTTCTCGATCCACAACATTTTTACCCACTTTAGCATTGAAATCCCCAACCACAAGTACACTCACACTTGGTTCGAAACTCTCCATGCACTCGATATTTCCCAAAATCTCTCTCTTCTACACTTCTCTCTTCTCCAGGTGCATAAATGCTTAATATAACCCACTTTTCACATCCAACCCTTATTTTACTCCACATAATCCTTGAATTAATACATATATATTCCCTCTTTTCCTGCTGTAACTTATCCTTCAACATTATTGCTACTCCTTCTTTAGCTCTAACTATTTGAAACCCCTGACCTAATCCCATTTATTTCTCCCACCCCCTTCAGCTTTGTTTCACTTAAAGCCAGGACATCCAGGTTCTTCGCATTCATAATATCCACTGTCGTCTCTCTTATTTGCTCAAAATCCACTCACATTCAAACATCCCACTTTGACGGTTTTCTTCTTTTTCTTTTTTAGTAGGCTATATGAGAAAAGGGGTTACTAGTCCATTGTTCCCGGCATTTTAATTTACTTTTACAACACTCATGGCTTATGGAGGAAAGATTCTTATTCCACTTTATCATGGATATGAAAGGAAAAGCAATAAGAATAAGAACTATTAAGATAAAATCAAGGAAAACTCAGATGAGTGTGTATACATAAATGTGTACGTGTATGTGTAGTGTGACCTAAGTGTAAGTAGAAGTAGCAAGATGTTCCTGAAATCTTACATGTTTATAAGACAGAAAAAAGACACCAGCAATCCTACCATCATGTAAAACAATTACAGGCTTTTGTTTTACACATACTTGCCAGGACAGTAGTACCTCCCTGAGTGGTTGCTGTCTACCAACCTACTACTACTATAATATATATACACATATAGAGTCACTGGACATGTTCCTAGAATTGCTACAGCTTGTGGAAGGTTGTTTATGTGTGGATGGTTGAAGGTAGCCTTTATTGTTGTTGTGCTGAGAGTTACATGGCTGGTGTCAAATGATGCATTACAAAACCACCACCACCCATTACCCATTCCATCTTCCCCAACAAGCATGTTGTCTTCCTCACCTCCCATATGGAAATAAGTCACTTTGATGTTTTTGGGTTATTGTAGGTTGATGGTAGTCTAGGTTTTCAGCACTATTTCTGGTATTCTGTGCATTGCTGTCGGTCACAAACTCCTCAGAATCATGAAATTCATCTTCACTGACACTTCCATCTGTGTTAGAACTATCACTTGGGAAAAAGAAGAGTCCCAGTTCACTGGGAAGTGAGGTGTTTCTTACCACGAGGCACGGTGAACAAGGCGTACTGAAATGGCGTTCCCACAATGCACCACTGGTTCCCTGATTTTTTTTATACTTCACACTGAGCATGCAGACCTATTCTCTCACATGTAGGCCTACCAACTTTCTCCTGCTAGATTTGAAGCCGCTGGAATTTTGGCATAGTATTACTGGACCGACACTGGGTTGCAAGTCGTAATATTACGGGACCGACAGTGAAAGGGCTAATTATTTAGAGGCAAGGTAAAAATAATTTTTATGTAAATGCCTGATATGTGTATATTTTAATAAATTGTTGCTTATATTTTCCCACAATAGCTATCCCAGTTGTCCAAGAATCAACAAATGATTGTAAATCAAAAGAACCAGTTCCAGCAGCAGTTGAATATTGTTCGAGAGGAGCTTCGTAAAGCTATTGAAGAAACCAAGAAGAACTTGTTAGAGAGGAATCGTGTACAGCAACAAGTAAAGTTTTAAAATAATCATTTTAGTTTTATGATTGAAAGTATATATATATGTACTTACACAGTCAACCTTCATGTAATTAAATGTTTAAGTTTGCAGAGGATTATCTGTAGTTCCTGGGTCTGCATCGTGCCTGTAAGTTGACTGACATGAATTAGCTCAGTTGTTCATTTGAATCCCTGTATGGAGTCAACTTCTGCTGTACACTGCCCGCAAAAATAAACCAGATCTCCCTTTATTGTTACAAACGTTACAGAACAAAAAATGTAATACTTGATATAGTAGGGCCCTGCTTTACGGCGTTTCGCTAATACGACGATTTCAAATTATGACCAGAACTTTCTATACGGCGAGCAGTCTTTCAAATACGGCGCGCACCACCTGGTTTGTTTACATTCTCCATGAGCACATCTCTATTATGTAATAGTAATCACTTTTGGGCACATTAAATGTCTTATTTTACTTTAATATAAACATTTTCATTAATCCATCTGTGATATTTTCTTCAAAATTATATAAGAAACACATTACATAGCATGTAAACCCAGGCAGACTACATACCTACATTATTATTATAACTCTGATAATTATGCTTATGTGTACCTGTACCTCTCTCTCTCTCTCTCTGTCTCTCTCTCTGTCTCTCTCTCTCTCTCTCTCTCTCTCTCGTTCTCTCTCTCTTCTCCTTTTTCCTCTCTCTTTCTTTTCTCTCTTCTCTCTTCTCTCTCTTTCTCTCTCTCTTTCTCTCTCTTTTCTCTCTTCTCTTTCTCTCTTTCTCTTTCTTTCTCTTTCTTTCTCTCTTTCTCTCTCTCTTTCTCTCTCTTTCTCTCTTTCTCTCTCTCTTTCTCTTTCTTTCTCTCTTCTCTTCCTCTTTCTCTCTCTTTCTCTCTCTCTTTCTCTCTTTCTCTCTTCTTTCTTTCTCTTTCTCTCTTTCTTCTTTTTCTCTCTCTCTCTCTTCTCTTTCTTCTTTCTCTTCTTCTCTTTCTTTCTTTCTTCTCTTTCTTTCTTTCTTTCTTTCTTTCTTTCTTTCTTTCTTTCTTTCTTTCTTTCTTTCTTTCTTTCTTTCTTTCTTGTTTTTTTTTTTTTTACACAGGGTTTGACAAGGTTAACAAGTTTAAGGATCCCTAGCTTTATTGACAGCTATTTACAGGTTGAGGATTCCTAACTTTATTGGCAAGCTAAGAGCTGTTACCTACATCAGCTCATTTGAAAGCATTTTTATTGTTATGAGACATACAAGTAGGAAACAGGATGAAGTTGGAGCCATCTGTGGGCCAGCATTTTCATTTGATCAACTGACTATCTCGTTGACATCATTATGCTGTACGAATGTGTTCCATACTCTAGTCATCCTGGGTATGTATGATCTCAGATGGAGTGATGTTCTGGAGAAGGGTACAGCCAGAGTGAAGTTGCTGCTTTCTGCCCGTCTTGTGGCATAAAAGCTTGTTTCACGCTGTCCTCGAAGTGGATCCAAGTGTGGTATTTTGACAATATTGGCCTTGTACATAACAGTAAGGCCACCCACATCCCTCCTATGTTGAAGGCTCTGCTGAAATGACAGATCTATCCAGGATGGGTCCAGGCGAGAGATGAGACGTCTTGCTCTGTTCTCTACTCTGTCAAGCAGTCGCAGATGAGAGGGGGGGGGCAGGCAAACCAAGAAAGTGGAGCATACTCAAGGTGCGAGCGTACTTGTGCCTCGTACAGGATCTTGCAACCCCTACTGTCAAGCAGATGGGAGATACGGCGAAGTGCTGTAAGCTTCCTGGCTGCCTTGTTTGCAAGATTTACAACATGGTTCTTCATGGTTAGTTTGGAGTCAGATTTCACCCCAAGGATATCAACTTCTTCTCCAGGTGCCAACATCCTCCCATTCATCCTTACTACTGCACCAGCATTACCATCATGGTGCCTAGAGACGATCATCATTTGCGTTTTCTCAGGGGCAAATGTTACTTGCCATCTATTTCCCCAAGCTGATATAGCTCTCAGCTGGTGATTGATGTAGCTTAGAGCAGCTGGCATTTCTTCTCTTGGATAAGTGAATGTCAGTGTACAGTCGTCTGCATATGCATGTGATTCTGGGATGAGATGAAGAAGGTCGTTGAAGTAGACATTCCATAACAATGGACCCAGCACGCTTCCTTGTGGAACACTTGCCCCAATAGGATGTCTTGCTGATTCCGTTCCATTGAGAACTACACTTAGAGATCTACCATGAAGGTAGTCACTGAGGAGACATAGCGTAGAGCCTGCAATTCCCAGTGCTTGAAGTTTTGCCAAGAGGCCCTGGTGCCACACCCGGTCGAAAGCGCCAGCAATGTCCAGTGCTACCACACAGCTGACTTTTGATTCATCCAGTGACTGGTGCCACTTAGTGGAGAGGTTTAACAACAGATCAGCAGCAGAGTAACCTTTCCTGAAGCCATATTGACGATCACAAAGTAGTGAGTGATAGTCAAAAAAAACTGTCATTTGTCTTGAGATTATTGTCTCAAGGATCTTACCAGTGATTGACAGGAGTGACACTGGTCTGTAGTTGCTGATTTCTGCTCTGCTCTTCTTTTTGTGAACAGGGACTACATTCGCCTCTTTCCATAGAGAGGGCCTTTTACACTGTACTAGGCAGTGCTGAAAGATGTGAGTTAGAGGTGCTGCTAGCTGGTCTGCACATCTTCTCAATCTTAGGCTCAACTTGTCTGGGCCCACAGCCTTTTCGTGGTCAAGCGATTTAAGTAGGAAATGCACCTCCTCCTGCCTTATTGTCACCACTGACAGTTTTGACACAGTTCTTGCAGCTAGCCAAGGAGGGTCCCTTGCTGGATCAGGAACTTGCATTTTGGTAGCAAAGTGTTCAGCAAAGAGGTCCGCCTTCTCTTGACTACTAGTAGAGGTGGTCCCATCCTGTCGATTTAGAGGTGGAATAAGTTCATCAGGCAGATATCCTTGTCTGTCCTTGACCAGGGACCACCAGGTTTTGGAGCCTACCCTACCTGATGCTAACTTTCTTTTAGTGTCCACCTCCCATTTAGCAATGGCCCACTTTTGAACATCACCCATATGCCTACAGGCTTGCATGTGCAAGTTCCTGTTATAGGTGGTAGGATGTCTCTTATACCTTCGCCATGCTTTGTACTTAGCAGTAGCAGCCTCTACATTTAATCTCGTTTAATCACCTCACACCCTACATTAAGACTACAAATATTTCAAGGTAAGTAATGAGTGTACTGTATAGGCATTTTATCGCTCTAGGGCACTTTAAATGCCTAGTATATAAAGTGGATGGGGTTACAATACCTACCACACATCGATACCTACCTACCCTACTATTCCCCTTGCACCCTATATTAAGACCATTAAGACAAAAAATATTTTAAAGATGTAATGAATGTACACTAAATGCATTTTATGGCTCTAGGGATCTTTAAGTGTCGAAGTATATTACATGTGGGTGGGATTAGGTAGTTTGGCCTGGCTGGCTGCCATACCTACCACCTAGCTTCTTGCAATAAGCACTACTCACTTCTCACCCTACATTAAGACTACAAATATTTTGAGGTAAGTAATGAGTGTACTATGTGTGTATTTTATTTTTGTTGTTTTTTAATGTCTTGTTCTATTGCTAACTTAATATATGTTAATGTAACCTTATCTGACATTTATAAGTGGAAAAAATGGCATTCTGCTTTCCGGCAACGTCTGCTTTCCGACAGTAGCCTGGAACCTAACCTGCCGTATAAGTGAGACCCTATTGTATCTTTTTATTTTTTTTTTATTATCACACTGGCCGATTCCCACCAAGGCAGGGTGGCCCGAAAAAGAAAAACTTTCACCATCATTCACTCCATCACTCCTATTGTATCTACATTAATATTTTGTCGTCTTCCCCTTGTCCTTGATGATCATTTGAAGCTGTTTGGGCATGCTTTCACTCAGGTTCTTGAAATAATCAGTTGCTAACTGGTTGACCCAAATGTCCTTGAACTGCTACTGCAGGCACAACATTCTCAGTAGAATTGGTAGTAGAGAAATTGAGAGAGTGAAAGAGAGTTAGGAGATAAAGATTGAAAGACAGATTGAGCAAGAGAAACAGATCGAGATTGAGATTGAGAGAGAGAGATTGAGAGAGGGCTGTTACTCAGCCCTGTAAGATCTTAAGTAGGTATTACCAAGGCTGGCTCCTCCTTAGGAAATTTAATGAATAGAAAAAGAATAATAACATGTAATTATAAACAATTTATTGTGATAATTGTCAGCGGATGGGTCTATGAAAGATGAGGTGAATCATAGAATTGATGAGGGAAAAAGAGTGAGTGGTGCACTTAGGAGTCTGTGGAAACAAAGAACTTTGTCCTTGGAGGCAAAGAGGGGAATGTATGAGAGTATAGTTTTACCAACGCTCTTATATGGGTGTGAAGCGTGGGTGATGAATGTTGCAGCGAGGAGAAGGCTGGAGGCAGTGGAGATGTCATGTCTGAGGGCAATGTGTGGTGTGAATATAATGCAGAGAATTCGTAGTTTGGAAGTTAGGAGGAGGTGCGGGATTACCAAAACTGTTGTCCAGAGGGCTGAGGAAGGGTTGTTGAGGTGGTTCGGACATGTAGAGAGAATGGAGCGAAACAGAATGACTTCAAGAGTGTATCAGTCTGTAGTGGAAGGAAGGCGGGGTAGGGGTCGGCCTAGGAAGGGTTGGAGGGAGGGGGTAAGGAGGTTTTGTGTGCGAGGGGCTTGGACTTCCAGCAGGCATGCGTGAGCGTGTTTGATAGGAGTGAATGGAGACAAATGGTTTTTAATACTTGACGTGCTGTTGGAGTGTGAGCAAAGTAACATTTATGAAGGGATTCATGGAAACCGGCAGGCCGGACTTGAGTCCTGGAGATGGGAAGTACAGTGCCTGCACTCTGAAGGAGGGGTGTTAATGTTGCAGTTTAAAAACTGTAGTGTAAAGCACCCTTCTGGCAAGACAGTGATGGAGTGAATGATGGTGAAAGTTTTTCTTTTTCGGGCCACCCTGCCTTGGTGGGAATCGGCCGGTGTGATAATAAAAAAAAAAAAATTGAAAATATAAAACATTTAAATATGAACTTTTATCCTACATGAAAGAGAAATGAAAAATGAAATATAAAAGTGATATTTAAATTCAACGCTAATATGTACAGTTTGACTGCGGTGTCTTGGTTGATGATGTTGACACCGCACCTTGTAGAAATTGTAGCCGTTGCTGATGATGTGGGGGGGGTCACAGCTGTTGAGTGACAACCCAACGACTATTTCGTCACAGTGTCTCTAGCCTTGAATAGTCTGTCAAGATGTTAGGAATGCACATCCTTCACCACTGCAAAGATGAGGGGTAGTTGCCTGGGGTTGGCTTCACTCAGGTATGTAGATAAAAAGTGATGTCCCAGAACTCATGTGAAGTTCGTCTCCTTCAGCACTGTTCCTGTAGTTGCCAATGACCCAAGCTGACATTCCAAGCTAGAAAGAGACAAAAGTTAACCACTGCTCGATAAATCACTCTCCATGATAAGTGTACGGCAATTAAAAGACTGGTGAGGATTTAAACGTGAAATTAAAGGCAGGATGAACTTAGTCTCCACACTTAGTTAAAAGTGAAGCTTTTAACCTATATATCTATTAAAAACAGGAGCAGAGGCTTTTACTTACAGTTGTGCTGGGAGCTGTGAGCCAAGTGATTATCCATTTGGCCGGAACCCCACACATCAGAAAAGGGGGGTGATAGCGGGAGCTAGACACTGACCCTACCTTAACAAGCAGACTGGCAATCAAACTATTGTTACCATATACTCGCTCGCTACTCCTATCTGTTGAACTTTTCCCTCACACTTCCTAATGGAAAATGTGGACTCCCTTCTGCTACAGCACAACTGTCAACATGTCATAATTGTTGGTGACCTCAACCAACACCTTATACAGAGGGACTTTAACCCTTTGAGGGTCGACAGGCCCTCTCAGAAACTCGTTCTCAAGGTCGGCCAAGTTAAAAAAAAAAATTATTTTTTCTTATGAAAAGATAGAGAATCTTTAACCAATCATAATGACACCAAAATTATGAGATTTGATGGAAAACTTACGGAATTATGCTCTCGCGAAGTTAGCGGTCTCGGCGATGTTTATGCATCGGCAATTTTGCCCACTTTGAGCCCGATTTTCGGCCAATTCCACTGTACTAGTCGACAAAAAACATGAATATTTCGCTAGAACTACATTTTTTCTATTGAATGAGTGCAAGAAACTACCCATTTACCATTTTCAACTATCCCATACAGTGGTCAGAATTTAGCAATTTTGCCAATTTCACACAAATTTCAAATAATGCCAATTTCCGTCTAGGGTCCAGAACAAACAATAAATACATTCCTGGCAATAAAATGACATTTCCTCTGTTCATTAGTCACGTCTCAAGGCCCCGCTTACATTCTTTTGCTTTCCACTTTGAATTTTTATTCTCACGAAAAATAGAAGATTTACTGTTATGCAGATTACTGCATTAGTGTAAAAAATGGTATAAATCATATTGGCGCACTTGCAAAAGAATGTTAGACTCACCAGTTGACGTGTATTGGACGCTTGGCATGATTTGTTTACTTTTGAACTTTGGTAAAAATCGAACATTTCCGCTACTTTGAGCTCAATTTCAAGGTACTTTTCATTGTAAAACCAGTCAAAATCATCTCAATTTCTGTGATATGCCTTCCATTCTATAAAATGAGACCAAGAAAACTAGAATACAACAATAAATACCATACGAAAATACAGTGCAAAGTTGCTGTTTTATGCCAAAAAAACGGTCAAAGTTTTTTTTTTTCTCATTATGCACTGTGTGCTGCAGGATTTTTTTATATCGTGCACACTGACCACATAGACCCATTCTTTCATAAGGAGGCCTACCAGCCTTTTCCCGAGAGATTTGACGGCGCTAGAATTTATGCGTACTAGTACATCAAAAACCCCTGCATGTAAGACGTACTAGTACGGCCAAAACCCTCAAAGGGTTAATGACCTTCGTGCAGTATTTGACATGAGAAACTTTGTTGATTTCCGTACTCACATCTCTGGCTCTTCCCTTGACCCAGTAATGAGTGATCTAGCAGAAGGTATAGTCACTTGTCAACCCCTCAGCTACGTTGGATCATCTGACCACAAGGCTGTTTTTATGACACTTCAGATCCCAACAGAATGATGTGAGGAGTCCACACGCACAACCTGGCTATGGGAAAGAGGTAATTGGCCAGCCCTTTGCTCTGAGCTCGCCACCACCGATTGGAATGCTCTTCTCCAAGGGGATGTTGACTACCAAGTGAAAGCCTTCACTGGACACATCCTTAATCTACAACAAGAACACATTCCTCACCAGCAATATGTGACAAAGCCTACAGATCAGCCTTGGTTTGGCTTTCGTTGTAGAGAGGCTGCTACTGCTAAGTACAAAGCATGGCGAAGGTATAAGAGACATCCAACCACCTATAACAGGAACTTGCACAGGCAAGCCTGTAGACATATGGGTGACTGTTCAAAAGTGGGCCATTGCTAAATGGGAGGTGGACACTAAAAGAAAGCTAGCATCAGGTAGGGTAGGCTCCAAAACCTGGTTGTCCCTGGTCAAGGACAGACAAGGCTATCTGCCTGATGAACTCATTCCACCTCTAAATCGACAGAATGGGACCACCTCTACTAGTAGCCAAGAGAAGGTGGACCTCTTTGCTGAACACTGCTACCAAAATGCAAGTTCCTGATCCAGCAAGGGACCCTCCTTGGCTAGCTGCAAGAACTGTGTCAAAACTGTCAGTGGTGACAATAAAGCAGGAGGAGGTGCATTTCCTTCTTAAATCGCTTGACCAAGAAAAGGCTGTGGCCCCAGACAAGTTGAGCCCAGGAAAGGTTACTCTGCTGCTGATCTGTTGTTAAACCTCTCCACTAAGTGGCACCAGTCACTGGATGAATCCAAAGTCAGCTGTGTGGTAGCACTGGACATTGCTGGCGCTTTCGACTGGGTGTGGCACCAGGACCTCTTAGCAAAACTTAAAGCACTGGGAATTGCAGGCTCTATGCTATGTCTCCTCAGTGATTACCTTCATGGTAGATCTCTAAGTGTAGTTCTCAATGGATTGCAATCACCAAGACATCCTATTGGGGCAAGTGTTCCACAAGGAAGCGTGCTGGGACCATTGTTATGGAATGTCTACTTCAACGACCTTCTTCTCATCCAAGAATCACATGCATATGCAGACAACTGTACACTGACATTCACTGATCCAAGAGAAGAAATGCCAGCTGCTCTAAGCTACATCAATCACCAGCTGAGAGCTATATCAGCTTGGGGAAATAGGTGGCAAGTAACATTTGCACCTGAGAAAACGCAAATGATGATCGTCTCTAGGCACCATGATGGTAATGCTGGTGTAGTAGTAAGGATGAATGGGAGGGTGTTGGCACCTGGAGAAGAAGTTGATATCCTTGGGGTGAAATTTGGCTCCAAACTAACCATGAAGAACCATGTTGTAAATCTTGCAAACAAGGCAGCCAGGAAGCTTACAGCACTTTGCCGTATCTCACATCTACTTGACAGTAGGGGTTGCAAGATTCTGTACGAGGCACAAGTATGCTCACACCTTTAGTATGCTCCACTTTCTTGGTTTGCCTGCCCCCCCTCTCATCTGCGACTCCTTGACAGAGTAGAGAACAGAGCAAGACGTCTCATCTGGCCTGGACCCATCCTGGATAGATCTGTCATTTCAGCATAGCCTTCAACATAGGAGGGATATGGGTGGCCTTACTGTTATGCACAAGGCCAATATTGTCAAAGTACCACACTTGGATCCACTTGAGGACAGCTTGAAACAAGCTTTTATGCCACAAGACGGGCAGAAAGCAGCAACTTCACTCTGGCTGTACCCTTCTCCAGAACATCACTCCATCTGAGATCATATATACCCACTATGACTCGAGTATGGAACACATTCGTACAGCATAGTTATGTAAACGAGATAGTCAGTTGATCAAATGAAAATGCTTGCCTACAGATGGCTCCAACTTCATCCTGTTCCCTACTTGTATGTCTCATAACAAAAATGCTTTCAAATGAGCTGATGTAGGTAACAGCTCTTAGCTTGCCAATAAAGTTAGGAATCCTTAACCTGTAAATAGCTTGTCAATAAAGCTAGGGATCCTTAACCTTGTCAAACGCTGTGTAAAAAAAAAAAAAAAGAAAAAAAAAAGGAGAGGGAGGGAGTGAGTGAGTGAATTTTAACTACAAATTTATACCTTGCTGCACTCATTTTGTAACTGAATAATTTCAGTATCAGTAAAGGAAATTTTCTCAGTAAATACAATAATATGAAGTTACATTATTTCTGATTTTGCTGCTTTCCAGTAATTGGCAGAGTAAATGTTTACAAATAAATACTTTCCAACTAAACATAACCTAAGCTTACAGCACAGGTTATAAAAAGGGCTTGTGTAATTCGTGTGTGGTATATTGTTTGCTAGTTATTAATTTGTCTGTGTTCCAGGTAAAAGAAATATATTTATATATTCTAAATAATCAAATTTCATATGTACTTAATAGTTTGTATTTATTTCCAGTGTGTGGAGGAAAATAAAAAGAATTTATCAGAAAAAGCCCGCCTCCAGCAACAAGTAAGTGCTGAAATTCCAGTTGTTTGCTACTTACAGAGTATTTAAACGGTATGCAAGGTGCCTGGACATGCAGCAGGCATTTGTGAGCATGTTAGGTAGAACTGGATAGAGATGAATGTTTTTTGGGACCTTACGAGCTGTTTGGAGTGTGAGCAGGGTAATATTTTGTAAAGGGATTCAGGGAAACTGGTTTGCCGGACTTGAATTCTGGGGGTGGGAAGTACAATGCCTGCACTTTAAAAGGTGGGTTTGGGATATTAGTTGTTCGGAGTGACATTTAAACTGTCATATCTGGGCACCTCTGGAAAGAGTGATTTTGTGTGATTGATGGTGAAAGTGTTTATTGTGTCACCCTGCCTCGGTGGGAGACGGTTGATGTGTTAAAAAAAAAAAATGTATTTAAAAGAAGAAAGAGAAGGGAGGACTATATTCCAGTAAATTTAGGTGTTAGACAGGTATGTGTAATGTCATCTTATATATCTAACATTTATAGATGGAGTGTAGCAAAACTGAATTTTAGGGTGTTGGGGAGAGGTGTGTGATTAACCCTTTCGCTGTCGAGACCCGTGCTCAAAAACTTGTTCTCAGTGTTGAAAAATATTCCAAAAAAGAAAAAACAATTTTTCTTATCAAAATCTTAAGAATAATTTTCTGAGTGTTACAAAAGAAAAAAAAATTGCAATCAGTAGTTACTGAGATATAGAGGTGTTAAGTTGACAAAGTGAACCACTGATGGCAACATCGGTGACTGCCGCTCAACCGGTAATGTTATTTTTACGTTTATTCTGTTTTTTCTTTTATAATATTTCATTTTTTCAAGTAACTTTTGTGGCTTGCGAGACCAATATAATGCATATTGTACGTATATATATATCCACTCATATGCAACACAATAACTGCACAAATATCATTATATTGTTTACAAAACTTGTTTACACAAATAAACAATTAAAAAGTTGTTTATTACTATTATTCTATAATATATATACGTATACACACAGATCCAGGCTTCCTTTTTAGTCACTTGGTAGGACGGAAGTACCTCCCCGAATGGTTGCTGACTCTGTGTGTAATTTTTTTTTTTTTTTTTTTTTTTCAACAAGTCGGCCGTCTCCCACCGAGGCAGGGTGACCCAAAAAAGAAAGAAAATCCTCAAAAAGAAAATACTTTCATCATCATTCAACACTTTCACCACACTCGCACATTATCACTGTTTTTGCAGAGGTGCTCAGAATACAACAGTCTAGAAGCATACACATATAAAGATACACAACATATCCCTCCAAACTGCCAATATCCCAAACCCCTTCTTTAAAGTGCAGGCATTGTACTTCCCATTTCCAGGACTCAAAAAAAAAAAAAATACACACAGAGTCAGCAACCATTCGGGGAGGTACTACCGTCCTACCAAGTGACTAAAAAGGAAGCCTGGATTTGTTTTATATGATGGTAGGATTGCTGGTGTCTTTTTTTCTGTCTTATAAACATGCAAGATTTCAGGTACGCCTTGGTACTTCTACTTACACTTAAGCCACACTACACATACATGTACACGTTTGTGTATTCACACTCTGAGTTTTCTTTGACTTTATCTTAATAGTTCTTGTTCTTAGTGCTTTTCATTTCATATCCATGGGGGAAGCGGGATAAGAACCTTTTCTCCATAAGCTATGCGTGTTGTAAAAGCCAACTAAAATGCTGGAACAATGGGCTAGTAACCCCTTTTCTTATATTGCTACTAAAAAGAAAAAGAAGAAAATTGACACAGTGGAATGTTTGAATGTGCGTGGATGTTGTGTGAATGATAAGAAAGAGATGATTGTGGATGTTCTGAATGGGGAGTTTTGAACCAAGTGAGCGAGCGTAATTGTGGTTGGGGATCTCAGTGCTAAAGTGGGTAAAAATGTTGTGGAGGGAGTAGTAGGAAAATTTGGGATGCCAGGGGTAAATGAAAATGGGGAGCCTTAAATTGAGCTATGTGTAGAAAGAGGTTTGGTAATAAGTAATACATATTTTATGAAAAAGATGATAAATAAGTATACGTACAAGGTATGATATAGCACCTAATGAAAGTAGTTTGTTAGATTATGTATTGGTGGATAAAAGGTTGATGGGTAGGCTTCAGGATGTACATGTTTATGGAGGGGCAACGAATATATCGGATCATTATTTAGTTGTAGCTACAGTTAGAGTAAGAGGTAGATGGGACAAAAGGAAAATGGCAACAGCAAGTAAGAGAGAGGTGAAAGTGTATAAACTAAGGGAAGAGGAAGTTAGGGTGAGATATAAGCAACTATTGGCAGAAAGGTGGGCTAATGCAAGTATGAGTAGTGCGGGGGTTGAAGAAGGTTGGGATAGTTTTAAAAATGCAGTATTAAAATGTGGGGCAGAAGTTTGTGGCTATAGGGAGGGTGGGTGCAGGATGAAAGAGGAGTGATTGGTGGAATGATGAAGTAAAGGGTGTGATTAAGGAGAGAAAGGTAGCTTATGAGAGGTTTTTACAAAGCAGAAGTGTTGTAAGAAGAGCAGAGTATATGGAGAGTAAAAGAAAGGTGAAGAGAGTGGTGAGAGAGTGCAAAAGGAGAGCAGATGAAAGAGTGGGAAGAGGCACTGGCAAGAAATTTTGGAGCAAGATAAACAAGTTTAGAAAGCCTAGGGAACGAATGGATTCATCAATTAAAAACAGAGTAGGGGAGTTAGTAGATGGGGAGCTGGAGGTATTGGGTAGATGGCGGGAATATGTTGAACTTTTAAAAGTTGATGAAAGGGAGGCGGTAATTTCATGCACTGGTTAGGGAGGTATAAGAAAGGGAGGCGGTAATTTCATGCATTGGTCAGGGAGGTATAACATCTGTTAGGAGTGAAGAGCAAGATGTGAGTGTGGGGGAGGTGCGTGAGGCATTATGTAGAATGAAAGGGGGGTAAAGCAGCTGGAACTGATGGTATCATGACTGAAATGTTAAAAGCAGGAGTGAATATAGTGTTTTAGTGGTTATTTTTTTTTTTTTGTTAATAAATGTATGAGAGGTAATAAATATACGAGGTAAAGTGTATGGTAGGGTTATTATTGAAAGAATTAGAGGTAAGACAGAGAGCTGGATTGCAGGTGAACAGGGATGCTTTAGAGTGGGTAGGGGATGTGTAGATCAAATGTTTACATTGACTCATGTATGTGAACAGTATTTAGGTAAAGGTAGGGAAGTTTTCATTGCATTTAGGGATTTAGAAAAGTAGGTCTTAGACAGGAATGTGTAATGTCACCATGGTTGTTTAATATATTTATAGATGGGGTTGCAAAAGAAGTGAATGCTAGGGTGTTCGGGAGAGGGGTGGGATTAAATTATGGGGAATCAAATTCAAAATGGGAATTGACACAGTTACTTTTTGCTGATGATACTGTGCTTATGGGAGATTCTAAAGAAAAATTGCAAAGGTTAGTGGATGAGTTTGGGAATGTGTGTAAAGGTAGAAAGTTGAAAGTGAACATAGAAAAGAGTAAGGTGATGAGGGTATCAAATGATTTAGATAAAGAAAAATTGGATATCAAATTGGGGAGGAGTAGTATGGAAGAAGTGAATGTTTTCAGATACAGTGTACCCCCAGTTTACAATATTATTTCATTCCAGAAGTATGTTCTGGTGCCAGTACTGACCGAATTTGTTCCCATAAGGAATATTTTGAATTAGATTAGTCCATTTCTGACCCCCAAACATACACATACAAACGCACTTACATAAATACACTTACATAATTGGTCGCATTGGGAGCTGATCGTAAACCGGGGGTCCACTGTACTTGGGAGTTGACGTGTCGGCGGATGGATTTATGAAGGATGAGGTTAATCATAGAATTGATGAAGGAAAAAAGGCGAGTGGCCCGTTGAGGTGTATGTGGAGTCAAAAAAACGTTATCTATGGATGCAAAGAAGGGAATGTATGAAAGTATAGTAGTACCAACACTCTTATATGGATGTGAAGCTTGGGTGGTAAATGCAGCAGCGAGGAGATGGTTGGAGGCAGTGGAGATGTCCTGTCTAAGGGCAATGTGTGGTGTAAATATTATGCAGAAAATTCGGAGTGTGGAAATTAGGAAAAGGTGTGGAGTTAATAAAAGTATTAGTCAGAGGGCAGAAGAGGGGTTGTTGAGGTGGTTTGGTCATTTAGAGTGAATGGATCAAAGTAGAATGACATGGAAAGCATATAAATCTATAGGGGAAGGAAGGCGGGGTAGGGGTCGTCCTCGAAAGGGTTGGAGTGAGGGGGTAAAGGAGGTTTTGTAGGCGAGGGGCTTGGACTTCCAGCAAGCGTGTTAGATAGGAGTGAATGGAGACGAATGGTACTTGGGACCTGACGATCTGTTGGAGTGTGAGGAGGGTAATATTTAGTGAAGGGATTCAGGGAAACCGGTTATTTTCATATAGTCGGACTTGAGTCCTGGAAATGGGAAGTTCAATGCCTGCACTTTAAAGGAGGGGTTTGGGATATTGGCAGTTTGGAGGGATATGTTGTGTATCTTTATATGTATATGCTTCTAAACTGTTGTATTCTGAGCACCTCTGCAAAAACAGTGATAATGTGTGAGTGTGGTGAAAGTGTTGAATGATGATGAAAGTATTTTCTTTTTGGGGATTTTTTCTTTTTTGGGTCACCCTGCCTCGGTGGGAGATGGCCGACTTGTTGAAAAAAAAAAATATGATAGAGTGGATAGGGGAGCAATGTGGCAGATGTTGCAAGTGCATGGAATAGGTAGTAAGTTAGTAAATGCTGTAAAGAGTTTTTATGAGGATAGTGAAGCTCAGGTTAGGGTGTGTAGAAGAGAGGAAGATTACTTCTCGGTAAGAGTAGGTCTTAGACAGGGATGTGTAATGTCACCATTGTTGTTTAACCCTTTGAGGGTCGACAGGCCCTCTCCGAGACTCGTTCTCAGGGTCGGCCAAATTTAAAAAAAAAAATAATTTTCTCTTATAAAATGATCTTTTTCCGATCATAATGACACCAAAAGTTTGAAATTTGATGGAAAATTTACGGAATTATGCTCTCACGAAGTTAGCAGTCTCAGCGGTGTTTACACATCGGCGATATTGCCCACTTTGAGCCCCATTTTCGGCCAATTCCACTGTATTAGTCAACAAAAAACATGAATTTTTTGCTAGAACTCCATTTTTTCTATCGAATGAGTGCAAGAAACCACCCATTTATCAATTTCAACTATCCAGTACAGTGGTCAGAATTTAGCAGTTTTGCCAATTTCACACAAATTTCAAAAGATGCCAATTTCCGAATAGGGTCCAGAATAAACAAGAAAAACATTCCTGGCACTAAAATGACATTTCCTCTGTTCATTAGTCACGTCTCAAGGCCCCTCTTACATTCTTTTGCTTTCCACTTTGAATTTTTATTCTCACAAAAAATAGAAGATTTACTGTTATGCAGACTACTGCATTAGTGTAAAAAATGGTATAAATAATATTGGCGCACTTTCGAAAGAATATTAGACTCACCCGTTGACGTGTATTGGACGCTTGGCATGATTTGTTTACTTTTGAACTTTGGTAAAAATCAAACATTTCTGCTTCTTTGAGCTCAATTTCAAGGTACGTTTCATTGTAAAACCCATCAAAATCATCTCAATTTCTGTAAAATGTCTTCCATTCTATAAAATGAGACCAAGAAAACTAGTATACAGCAATAAATACCATACGAAAATACAGTGCAAAGTCGCTGTTTTATTCCAAAAAAACGGTCAAAGTTTTTTTTTTCTCATTATGCACTGTGTGCTGCAGGATTTTTTTTATACTGTGCACACTGACCACATAGCCCCATTCTTTCATATGTAGGCCTACCAGCTTTCTCCCATTAGATTTGAGGGCACTAGAATTTAGGCGTACTAGTACGTCGAAAACCTTGGATCGTAAGCCGTACTAGTACGGCCGAAACCCTCAAAGGGTTAGTATATTTATAGATGGGGTTGTAAAAGAAGCACAAGCCAATTGGATGAGGCATTTTCGACTTTATATATAACCTTGAATGAAGAAAAATATTTTGCAGAGGTGCGCAGAATGCAACAGTTTAGAAGTACGTATATACGTATAAAAATACACAATACGTACATGTATATCCCTCCAAACTGCCGATATCCCAGATCCCTCCTTTAGAGTGCAGGCATTGTACTTCCCATTTCCAGGACTCAAGTCCGGTTATATATATACAGTGATTATGTGTGAGTGAGGTGAAAGTGTTGAATGATGATGAAAGTATTTTCTTTTTGGGGATTTTCTTTCTTTTTGGGTCACCCTGCCTCGGTGGGAGACGGCCGACTTGTTGAAAAAAAAAAAGAATGAAGAAAAAATATCCAGGGTGCAACCCCTTGATAGTACCCCTTTTATGATGCCTAATACTGTACCTGGAGTATACCTGGAGAGGGTTTCGGGTGTCACTGCCCCTGTGGTCCGGTTTGTGACCAGGCCTTGTGGTGGATCATGGCCTGATCAACCAGGCTGTTACCTTTGGCTGCACACAACCTGACGTACAAACCACAGCCCAGCTGGTCAGGTACTGATTTTAGTGCCTTCTTGAAGACATCCAGGAGTCTATTGGTAATTTCTCTTATGTATGCTGGGAGGCAGTTGAACAGTCTTGGGGCCCTGACACTTATTATGGTGTCTCTTATCGTTCCAATGGCGCCCCTGCTTTTCATTGGTAGGAATGTTGCATTGTCTGCTGAGTCTTTTGTTTTCATAGGGACTGATTTTCATGTGCAAGTTTGGTACTAATCCCTCTAGGATTTTCCAAGTGTATATAATCATGTATCTGTCCCGCCTGCATTCTAGGGAGTACAGGTTAAGGAACTTCAAGCATTCCCAGTAATTGAGATGTTTTACCACAGTTATGTGTGATGTGGAGGTTCTCTGTACATTTTCTAGGTCAGCAATTTCACCTGCCTTGAATGGTGCTGTTAGTATGCAGCAATATTCCAACCTAGATAGAACAAGCGACTTAAAGAGTGTCATGTCATCACACCAACATCATGTCAAATCACATAGGGCAGATGCCTCCAATTGGTTGCATCTAATATTCATGTTTGTCTGCTCTAATATTAATTGCAATATTGGTAATTAAGAAAATGGAGTTACATGTGTTTATTTACAGCTTGGGCAGACCCAGGAACGGCTAAGGGCACTGGAATCATCGTCACAGCAGGCTCAGGCAACTCACCAGCAGGAGATGGGCAATGTATGACTTAGCAAGTCCTTTGATTTGCTATTCTAAATGTTAAATAGAACTGCTTTTCCACAGCTGTTTCATATAAACTAAGAAACTGATCAATTGTATAAAAAAATTTTATGCATTCTTGAAAATTCTAGAAAGCTCTGATCAAATTTGTATTTACAGCTTTATGGCTAAAATGTACAATTTTGTATTATATTTTCTCATTTCTGCTTATCATTTGCTAAGCTTTCAATAAAGGAAGTATTTGTCATGCTATATTAATCTTGAGATTAATATTACATAGTACAGTAGACTGCCAGTTAAACTGCAAGTAGACTCGGTAAGATCATTTTATTGCTGTTGAAAAGGTGATAAATAATGCATGAAATTTGGGTAGTTCATTCCATTGATTTTCTCAGCCTGCTTACCGGCCAGGAGCTATTATCCCTAGCTGCCAGGCCATGAGTGGTTTTCTTTTCCCCCTAGCCTCCCACAGTTCTTGATTAGCAAATCCTGTCCTCTAGAGAGCATTATTTTGACCTAACTAATGTTTTCACAAATTTATATTATTTCTGAATGCTTAATTTGTATATAATGTCTGTATACAAAGTTTGAAGAGAATATTCAGTGTGTTAAGAAGAATTTATTGGAATTATTTACCCTATATCACATACTCTCATAATTACATTAATTACATTCTAGTGCCTTTTACATTGATGTATCTCTTTTGACACCTATAACAATGATATGCTTATTGTAACTGTATTTCTACAATTACAACAAACACATCAGGTGATGAGGATAACAAAAAAATAGGTAATGAAAGATTTGATATCAGATTGGAGGGAGAGAGTATGGAGGAGGTAAATGTAATCAGATATTTGTAAGTGGACGTGTCAGCAGATGGGTCTCTTGAAAGATGAGGTGAATCATTGAATTGACTAGGGGAAAAGAGTGAGTGGTGCACCTAGGAGCCTATGGAGACAAGGAATGTTATCCATGGAAGTAAAGAGGGGAATATATGAGAGTATAGTTATACCAACACTCTTGTATACGTGTGAAGAATGGGTGGTGAATGTTGCAACAAGGAAAAGGCTGGAGGCAATGGAGATGTCATGTCTGAGGGCAGTGGATCTATCTATCTATCTATCTATCTTTTTTATTTTTTTTTTTTTTACACAGGGTTTGACAAGGTTAAGGATCCCTAGCTTTATTGACAGCTATATTACAGGTTAAGGATCCCTAGCTTTATTGACTGCTATATTACAGGTTAAGGATTCCTAACTTTATTGGCAAGCTAAGAGCTGTTACCTACATCAGCTCATTTGAAAGCATTTTTATTCTTATGAGACATACAAGTACGGGACAGGATGAAGTTGGAGCCATCTGTGGGCCAGCATTTTCATTTGATCAACTGACTTTATCTCGTTGACATCATTATGCTGTACGAATGTGTTCCATACTCGAGTCATCCTGGGTATTATGATCTCAGATGGAGTGATGTTCTGGAGAAGGGTACAGCCAAGTAAGTTTCTGCTTTCTGCCCGTCTTTTTGCATAAAAGCTTGTTTCATCACGCTGTCCTCGAAGTGGATCCAAGTGTGGTATTTTGACAATAGGGCCTTGTACATAACAAAAGGGCCACCCCACCCCCTCCTATGTTGAAGGCTCTGCTGAAATGACGATCACCCCGGGAATGGGTCCAGGCGAGAGATGAGACGTCTTGCCTTTTCTCTACTCTTAAACAGTCGCAGATGAGGGGGGGCGCAAACCAAGAAAGTGGACAACTCAAGGGTGACGTACTTGTCCCCTCGTACAGGATCTTCAACCCCTACGCCCAAGCAATGCAATAGGGCGAAGTGCTGTAAGCTTCCGGCTGCCTGTTTAAAATTTTTACAACATGGTTCTTCAGGGTTAGTTGGAGCCAAATTTCACCCCAAGGATATAAATTTTTCCCCAGGGCCAACATCGTCCCTTTCATCCTTACACGCACCAGCATTACCATCATGGTGCCAGAGACGATCATCTTTGCTTTTTCCCCGGGTGCAAATTTTTACTTGCCATCTATTTCCCCAAGCTGAAATAGCCTCAGCTGGTGATTGATGTAGCTTAAGCAGCTGGCATTTTCTCTTGGATAATAAGTCATTAAGTCCGCAAAGAAAGGTTTCTGGATGAGATGAAGAAGGTCGTTGGTAGACATTCCATAACATGGACCAGAAAAGTTTCCTTTTGGAACGCTTGCCCCAAAGGGAGCCTTTGCGATTCCGTTCCTTTTGGGACTACACTTAGAAACCCCATAAGGAAATCACTGAGGAACATAGCGAGAGCCTGAAATTTCCCAGTGCTTGAAGTTTGCAAGAGGCCCGGCCACACCCGGTTCGAAAGCGCCAGCAATTCCCATGCTACCACACACTGATTTTGGATTCACCCAGTGACTGGTCCACTTAGGAAGGTTTAACAACAGTCACACAGATAACCTTTCCGAAGCCATTTTGCGATCACAAAGAAAAGGGGGGGGTACAAAAAAATCTGTCATTTGTTTTAATTATTGTCTAAAGGATTTTCCCCGTGTTTTGACAGGAGTGACACTGGTCGTATTGCGATTTCTGCTCGCCTTTTTTTTGTGAACGGGGACTACATTTGCCTCTTTCCATAGAGAGGGCCTTTTACACTGTACTAGGCAGTGTGAAAGATGCGATTTAAAGGGGTGCGCTACGGGTCTGCACATCTTCTCAACAATCTTGGGCTAAACTTTCTGGGCCCACAGCCTTTTTTTGGTCAAGTGATTTAAGAAGGAAAGCACCTCCTCCTCCCTTTATGCACCACGACAGTTTTTGACACAGTTCGTCAGCTGCCAAGGAGGGCCCCTTTGCGGGATCAAAACTTGCATTTGTAAAAAGGTTCAGCAAAGGGGCCGCCTTCCTTACAAACAGTAAGGTGGTCCCATCCGTCTTTTAGAGGTGGAATAATTTCATCAGCCGAAAACCCTTGTCTGCCCTTACCAGGACCACCGGTTTTTTGGGCCTACCCTACCTAGCAATTTTCTTTTAGGCCCACCTCCCTTTTAAGAAATGGCCCACTTTTGAACTCCCCCTCCTACAGGCTTGCATGTGCAAGTTCCTGTTAAGGGGGTAGGAGTCTCTTATACCTTCGCCATGTTTTTACTTACAGTACAGCCTCTCTACAACGAAAGCCAAACCCCAAGGCTGTCTGAGCTTTTTCACATATTCCGTAGGGAATGTGTTCTTGTTCAGATTAAGGATGTTCCAGTGAAGGGTTTTACTTGGTTTCAACATCTCCCTGGAGAAGAGCATTTCCCGTCGGGGGGCACTCAGAGCAAAGGGGGGCCAATTTTCCTCTTTTCCCCTAGCCAGGGTTTTCGTGGGACTCCTCCCTCGTTCGTTGGGGTCTTAAGTGTGGAAAAAAAAGCCTTGTGTCAACGATCCAACGTAGCCGAGGGGTTTTCAAGTGACTATGCCCTTTTGCCAATCCTCCGACTGGTCAAGGGGGAGCCAGAGTTTGGAAGGGGGAATCAACAAAGTTTCTCATGTCAAACACTGCAAGAAGGGCCATCAAAGACCCCCTGTAAAGTCTGTTTGGGTCAAACCAACAATTATAATATGTTGACAGTTGTGTTGACAGAAGGGGGTCAAATTTTCCATTAGGGGTTATTGGGTCGCGGTTGCCACTGAGGTCTGTACATTGACAGCAGTACAGAGTACTTTTTATACAGGCTTTAAGAACATCATTTCAAGATGTTTTAGGGTGGGAACACTATTGCTGGGCAAGAACACTTTTAGAGAAGCACACAGCAACACCCCCCTTGCCCTTGCCTTCTCTTTTCATCCATGAGTGTAGCCCAATTCTTGCAAAATTTTCGGGAGTCCGTCATCCAAAAATGTTTCAACAACGGGTATCATGTCGGGACGTCGAGTGTTCACAAAGCTTTTTGACTCTCCAACATTTGTAATGAAACCCCTAATTTGGTTGACAGGGTGCTGATAGACTGGCTCCTCAAAGAAGAATTTGGGCAGCTTTTAGTGGTGGGGTGTAGGGGAAAGAAGGTCCTGCCCTTGAAGGGTAGGGGGACTGAGGCAGCACAGGTGAGGTCTTGGTCTTTTAAGGGCCCAATCCCACCTCTGGCTGGGATAGGATAGCTAAGTGGTGACGTGTGAGATGTTCACCAATTCAGAATCCTGCTGGTTTGTTCTGAGAACAGGTCTCTAAACAGGTGGCCCTGTCTGTCAAGTTCCTTTTTCTTCCGACACTGGTCCTCCTTATGTCCTTTCTTGTAGCAGTAATTACACCTGGTATCTCGCAGGCAGTTGTTGGCAGAGTGCCCCTTCCGGTGACAGCGAGAGCACAGCCTAGGTGCCTGGGAGGGTGGACTAGGATTTGTTGCACCTCCTGTGTTTCACAGATTTGTCCTCAGATTCTGCCGCTGGAACTGTGTTCTCTCTGTCTCTCTCTGTCTCTCTCTCTCTCTTTCTCTCTCTTTCTCTCTCTCTCTTTCTCTTTCTTTTTTTTTTACACAGGGTTTGACAAGGTTAGGTTAAGGATCCCTAGCTTTATTGACAAGCTATTTACAGGTTAAGGATTCCTAACTTTATTGGCAAGCTAAGAGCTGTTACCTACATCAGCTCATTTGAAAGCATTTTTATTGTTATGAGACATACAAGTAGGGAACAGGATGAAGTTGGAGCCATCTGTGGGCCAGCATTTTCATTTGATCAACTGACTTTATCTCGTTGACATTATGCTGTACGAATGTGTTCCATACTCGAGTCATCCTGGGTATATAGGATCTCAGATGGAGTGATGTTCTGGAGAAGGGCACAGCCAGAGTGAAGTTGCTGCTTTCTGCCCTTCGTGTGGCATAAAAGCTCATTCTTTCTCTCACTGTCACTCTCACTTTCTCTCTTTCTCACTCTCATTCTCTCTCTTTCTTTCTCTTTCTCTTTTTCTCTCTCTTTCTTTCTCTCTTCTCTTTCTTTCTCTCTCTTCTCTTTCTTCTCATCTCTTTCTCTCTCTTCTTTCTCTCCTCTTTCTCTCATTCTCTCTCTCTCTTTCTCTTTCTCTCTCTCTTCTCTTCTCTCTTTCTCCTCTTTCTCCTTTCTCTCTTTCTCCTCTTCTTTCTCTCTTTCTCCTTCTCTCTTTCTCTCTTTCTCTCTTTCTCTCTTCTCTCTCTCTCTCCCTCTCTCTCTCTCTCTTTCTCTCTCTCTCTCTCTCTCTCTCTCTCTCTCTTCTCTCTCTTCTCTCTCTCTCTCTCTCTCTCTCTCTCTCTCTTTCCTTTTCTCTCTCTCTCTCTCTTCTCCTCCTCTTTCCTCTCTCTTTCTCTTTCTTCTCATCTTTCTCTCTCTTTCTCTCTCTCTTTTCTCTCTCTCTCTCCTCTTCTCTTCTCTTCTCTCTCTCTCTTTCTCTTCTCTCCTCTCTCTCTCTCTCTTCTCTCTCTCTCTCTCTCTCTCCTCTCTCTTCTCTCTCTCTCTCTCTTCTCTCTCTCTCTCTCTCTCTCCTCTCTCTCTCTCTCTATCTCTCTCTCCTCTCTCTCTCCTCTCTCTCTATCTCTCTCTTCTCTACTTTTCTCTCATCGCTCATTACTTTCGAATCTCTCTCTCTCTTCTCTCATCTCTCTCTCTCTTTCTCTTTCTTTTGCACAGGTTTCGGTTAAGATCCCTCTTTATTGACAAGCTATTTCGTTAAGGATTTTCCTCTCTCTATCTGGCCAACTCTTACCTCATCACTCTATTCTACCTTCTCTGCTTTTACATACTTTCTCTCTCTCTTTCACTCTCCTTTCATCTTTCTCTTTCTTTCCTTCATCTCTCTCTCACTTTACCTCTCTCTCTTCTTCCCCCTCCACCTCTCCTCTCTCTCTCTCTCTCTCTCTCTCTCTCTCTCTCTCTCTCTCATCCTCTCTCTCTCTCTCTCTCTCTCTCTCTCTCTCCCCCTTCCCCCCCCCCAAAAAAAAGTCAGCTGTTTCCCACCATGGCAGGGTGACCCAGAAAGAAAGAAAAACCCCAAAAAGAAAATACTTTCATCATCATTCAACACTTTCACCTCACTCAAACATAATCACTGTCTTTGCAGAGGCGATCAAGTATGACAGTTTAGAAGTCCCTCCAAACTGCCAATATCCCAAACCCCTCCTTTAAAGTGTAGGCATTGTACTTCCTGTTTCCAGGACTCAAGTCTGGCTAAATCTATAATAACTGGTTTCCCTGAACCCCTTCAGTAAATATTACCCTGGTCACACTCCAACAGTTCGTCAAGTCCTAAAAACCATTTGTCTCTTTTACTCCTATCTAACACGCTCTCACATGCTTGCTGAAAGTCCAAGCCCCTCAGCTCACAAAACATCCTTGTCCTCCTACCTTTTCGAGGAAGACCCCTACCCCTCCTTCCTTTCCCTACAGATTTATACGCTCTTCAAGCCATTCTACTTTGATCCATTCTCTCTAAATGACCAAACCACCTCAGCAACCCCTCTTCAGCCCTCTTAGTGGTTTTAATGTGTACCTGCATGCCAGCACAGTGTGTAAGTTTATTTAGGCACATGTACACAAGTATAATTGATTATCAGAGTAGATATAAAATACACAATAGAGAGGCATGGAGCTCATGGAGAATGCAATCAAAGTGGCGCGCGGAGACCATAATAGCAAGTCATGTGGTGGGGGGAGCTGTATAACGAGTTTGTCATAATTTGAAATATCCGTATTTGCATAATGCTGTAAGGCATAATGCCGTAAAGCGGGATCCTACTGTATATATAAAGAACCTGGTTATGTAGAGCATTTTGGGCAACTTAAGTAAATTTTGACCCCTGGATTCGACCCACACCAGTCGGCTAACACCCAGGTACTGTACCTACCTACTGCTAGGTGAACAGGGACATGCCCAGTGTTTCCACATGTACTAGGGATTGAATCACAGACACTCATTGTGTGAACTGAGTGTGCTACCAACCGAGATACAGGATAATTCAGGTGTATTGAAGATTTAGAAATAGAAATCTGTGATATTGCCAAGGCATGGGATAATTCAGACATATTGAAGATTTGGATATAGAAATCTATAATATTGCTGGGAGCCAAAGCCAGAGTTGGACATGGCTCAATATAGGTCTGTGTAGTGCATCATGGATAACACTGCAGAATTAAACAGTAAAACCAGGGCTTGTTGTGCCACCAACTTTCCTACCAACAAACAGGGTGTGGAGCTGGAAGAAGATACCTCATACATTCTAGATTTATTACAGTTTCTTGAAACTAACAGTGAAATTCACCCCATAAAGCATACTCTGTAGATTTAACGTAGGATAATCCAGTTTAATAAAAAAAATGGCTTATTTCCCTACTTTGATTGATATTACACCTTAAAACAATTGTAATATAAGATTTTCTTCAAGATACATGTTTTACAGTAGTCTTGAAAGCACATGGGCATTATGGACACAGAAATTACATTGCTTGTACAGTGGACCCCGCCTTACGAACGCATCGCGTTACGTTAAATCCACCATACGAAGCATTTGAACACAAAAATTTTGCCTCGCCTCACAAAAAACTCGCCTTACGTGATTCGTCCGGGACGCGTCCCACGTGTGGCCTCAGTGCCAGTGTTTACAAGCCAGCCAGTGCGGTCGCATCTACGCATACTGCAAAATAAGTCACCATGGACTCCAAGAAAGCTTCTAGTGCCATCCCTGTGGTGAAAAGGGCGAGAATTAGTATGGAATTGAAAAAAGAGATTTAAGGAAATGTGTGCAAAGTGAGTTGAACTGCAAACCTTTACGGATGAAAATCACCCTGACAAAGCTACTGCAAGCCGTGTTGGCAACCTGTACAATGACAATGTTATGGCCCATTTTAGGAGTCTTAAAGGAACGGGAGGTACAGAGCTCTATGGATAGATTTGTTGTGTGACAGAGGTCCAGTGACTCTCAAGCTGGTCCTAGTGGCATTAAAAGAAGATGGGAAGTAACCCTGGAAAAGGACTTGCTACCTCAAGTCCTAATGTAAGGGGATTCCCCTTCTAAACAATAACTTCCACACTCTCCCCTCCTCCCATCCCATCAATCATCACTAGATCTTCAATAAAGGTAAGTGTCATGTATTCTGTTCTTAGTAGAGCAGTAATTGTGCATGTCTTCTTCAGTTTGTGTGTATTAAAATTAATATTTCATGTGGTAAAATTTTTTTTTTTTTTTTCATACTTTGGGGTGTCAGGAACGGATTAATTTGATTTCCACTATTTCTTAGGGGGAAAATTAATTCGGCTAATGATAATTTTTTTTTACGATGAACTCTCAGGAACGGATTAATATCATAAGGCGGGGGTCCACTGTATAACCAGGATATTCCTCAAACTAAAATATATACCATAATAATTAACCTAGGATTACCCAATTTAATCAGTATGATGTATTTTCATGTTTTGAAGAATATTACATCCTGAAACAATTGTAATATCACAAGTATTTCTTGTACATAGTGTTAGAAGATTAAAACAGTACATAATAGAATAATCAGTTATTTGCACAAATTTATACTGTGTATTCCACAAGTTTGGAGTATTAAAACACTTTGAAATGTATCTAATCTCATTAGAAACTAGTGTACATAGTGTTAAGCATTAAAAACCAGTGAAAACAAGGTATAATCATAATTTGGCATCAATAAATGCCAAATTATGATTGTGCATTTGTGTAGCTGTTGTCACTAAGTGATTGCTTTTTCACAACTTTAGCTCGCCATAAAATCGTAAATTGTTATCAGAATCCACCTAATTGTCTTATTTGATTCATAAACATGCACTATTTCAATCTGTAAAAGTTTCAGCTTTTCAAAATCTTGCTCCATACGCAGGAAATTTACTTGCAGGGTTTGCCACCATTAAAGAGTTAGTTGTTTGGCATTTTTGAAGGTCGGGAACTTTTTCCTATGCTCTTCACATCATTAGTGCTAGATTAGGTTAGAAGTCTATTTTCAGAAATGTAAAACTCACATTAATTGACTGTCTACTGTTTTTTTTTATAGTACGAGATTTTATCAATTGAACTGAATCACTGTATTTTAAAGTTTTTAAATATACCATGTTCTGAATGACAATCTTGTGTTAATGCAGATGCTTGAGCTGAAGCAGCGTGAAGAAGCTCAAAGACATCAGCTAGAAATAACAAAACAGGAAGCAGAAAATCTTGCAGAAAAATTAAAGGAGTTGGAGGGAAAACTTGCTGAGGCTGTTAAAAAGGCAGATAACTTTGAAAAGCAGTCATTACAGGTAAGGTTATGTATTTTACTGAATAATGTACCATATAATGTGTTCAACCCTGCATTAGTAAGAGTGAGTTTGTGAGGATGTCCAGCTCTTGGGCCTCTTAAATTTTGATTGGTTAGTGTGACTTATCTTTGTAACAAAAAATTGTCTCCATGGCCAGATATGTGATAGGTATAAGGTTTTGTATGCTAGGGGCTTGGACATCCAGCAGGCATGTGTGAGCATGTTAGGAGTGGAGGCCAATGGTGTTTGGGACTGTCATAGTTTGAGCAAGGTAACAACTTGTGAAGGGATTCAGGGAAACCACTTAGCTGGACTTGAGTCTTAGAGGTGGGAAGTACAGTGCCTGCACTCTGAAGTAGTAGTTTGGATATTTGCAGTTAGGAGGGGGATCTGTACTGTAGTATCAGCACACCTCTGGCAAGACAGTGATGGAGTGAATGATGGTGAAAGTGTTTTTTTCATCTTCCGGTCTTGGTGGGAGATAGCAAGTGTTAAAAAAAATAAAAACTTTTCAGTCTATTATGTTGAGAGAGGGAGAAAGTGAGTGAGAGAGAGAGTGAATTAATTAATTTTGCCACTGTCTCTTAATAAGCATTGTTTGCCTTTACAGAGGTTCCAAGAGCTAGTGAAAAAAAATATCTTGATGGACAGATTTTGATCACTTTCACTTAATTAACACCTAAACTGTTACATACCTAGAACTAAAATTTCCTGGGTGTGTTGCAAAATTCTGAAAAAGAAAAACAATTTCTTACATTTTGAGAGAGCATATGTTTTTCAATTGAACTACAAAAATAAAGAAAATTGAAATAAGAATTCTTAAAATTTTGTGGTTTGTTGGAGTTGGGAAAACTGATCATGCACTGGTATCAGCAGCATGAATGCACTTAGTGGTAAATATTTTATAATTTATTAATACCAAATTATAATTGTTTTTCAGTTTTCAGGAACATAACCTGCACGAATTATGAATGTTTGATGCACATTTTTGGGGGATTCTTTCATTATATTTTGATTACACACAGATAAATAAATATATAGTGCCCATTTTATCCATTTTTCTTATTGGTAATCAGTATTAAATATCTTCCCTAAAAAATTCCAGCTCCGCAAGATTGCAACTAAATACAAGAAAGCTGCTGAAGGTGGCGCTGCTGCTGCAAGTGTAAGTTATTATTGTTTTTTTGGTTATATTTTTTAAAGAGGGACCGGTTATTAATTGTTAATAGGACTACTTTCAGATGGAGCAGAAAAAGGTGACCAAGAGGGTGTATAAATCGGGTGGAAGGAAGGAAGGGTAAGGGTCATCCAGGAAGGGTTAGAGAGAGTGTGTGATGGGGCTGTGTCATTCAGCAGGTGTGTGTGAGCATGTTAGATCAGGGTGGGTGAAAAGTTACTTTAAGGATTTCATGTGTGTTGTAGTGTGAGCTAGGCAACATTTATTAAGGGATTCAGGGAAACTGGTTAGCTGGACTTTAGACCTGGAGGTAGGAAGTATAGTGCCTGCACTCTGAGGGAGGAGTAGGGATGTTATAGTTCAGAGGGTCATTTGAATTGTGATGTCTGTGCACTTGAATGAATGAATGGTAAATGCTTCCTCTTTTTGGGAAAAAGGGGTCACCCTACCTTGGTGAGAGACAGCTGATGTTTAAAAAACTATTACTTGCATAAGTTTGCTTAAAAAAGTCACTAAAAGGTCAGCTTACTGTACAAGACAAATTAATTTTGTGTTACAGGGCACTGGAGGTGAGGGCACTGATGGTGAAGCCACCACTGGCACTACTGTTGCAGCAAGCTCAGAGAAAATTAAGGAATTAGAGGAAACACTTTCTACACTCCGTCAAAAACAAGAGAGTGTCCAAGAGGAATGTGTCAAACTGCAGTGAGTGTTAGCTATTTGACCTGAGATTCATTCTAATTTGAGTGACTTGTAGATTTACATTTATTTATTCATTTGTATTTCTAGCATCAGTATCAATAGTGCACTTTTGTTAATTTTTCCATTCAGTGATTTGTTAAATATTGTATGCTCTGGGTAGGATTGCTGGATTTTTCCTATAAACTTCTAAGAGATCAGAAAAGTTTTACAAACTGCTGGTAATGTTCATTATATACTTTTTTTTTTTTGTCTTCCATGGAGGCAGGGTGACTCAAAAAGAAAGAAAATCCCCAAAAAGAAAATACTTTCATCATCATTCAACACTTTCACCTCACTCACATATAATCACTGTTTTTGCAGAGGTGCTCAGAATACAACAGTCTAGAAGCATACACATATAAAGATACACAACATATCCCTCCAAACTGTCAATATCCCAAACCCCTCCTTTAAAGTGCAGGGATTGTACTTCCCATTTCCAGGACTCAAGTCCGACTATATGAAAATAACCGGCTTCCCTGAATCCCTTCACTAAATATTACCCTGCTCACACTCCAACAGATCGTCAGGTCCCAAGTACCATTCGTCTCCATTCACTCCTATCTAACACGCTCACGCACGCTTGCTGGAAGTCCAAGCCCCTTGCCCACAAAACCTCCTTTACCCCCTCTCTCCAACCCTTTTGAGGACGACCCCTACCCCGCCTTCCTTCCCCTATAGATTTATATGCTTTCCATGTCATTCTACTTTGATCCATTCTCTCTAAATGACCAAACCACCTCAACAACCCCTCTTCTGCCCTCTGACTAATACTTTTATTAACTCCACACCTTCTCCTAATTTCCACACTCCGAATTTTCTGCATAATATTTACACCACACATTGCCCTTAAACAGGACATCTCCACTGCCTCCAACCGTCTCCTCGCTGCTGCATTTACCACCCAAGCTTCACACCCATATAAGAGTGTTGGTACTACTATACTTTCATACATTCCCTTCTTTGCCTCCATAGATAACGTTTTTTGACTCCACATATACCTCAACGCACCACTCACCTTTTTCCCTCATCAATTCTATGATTAACCTCATCCTTCATAAATCCATCCACCGACACATCAACTCCCAAGGATCTGAAAACATTCACTTCTTCCATACTCCTCCTCCCCAATTTGATATCCAATTTTTCTTTATCTAAATCATTTGACACCCTCATCACCTTACTCTTTTCTATGTTCACTTTCAACTTTCTACCTTTACACACATTCCCAAACTCATCCACTAACCTTTGCAATTTTTCTTTAGAATCTCCCATAAGCACAGTATCATCAGCAAAAAGTAACTGTCAATTCCCATTTTGAATTTGATTACCCAAAATTTAATCCCACCCCTCTCCCGAACACCCTAGCATTTACTTCCTTTACAACCCCATCTATAAATATATTAAACAACCATGGTGACATTACACATCCCTGTCTAAGACCTACTTTTACCGGGAAGTAGTCTCCCTCTCTTCTACACACCCTAACCTGAGCCTTACTATCCTCATAAAAACTCTTTACAGCATTTAATAACTTACCACCTATTCCATATACTTGCAACATCTGCCACATTGCTCCTCTATCCACTCTATCATATGCCTTTTCTTTCTTTCTTTCTTTCAACACACCGGCTGTATCCCGCCGAGGCGGGGTGGCCCAAAAGGAAAAACGAAAGTTTCTCCTTTTGCATATAGTAATATATACAGGAGAAGAGGTTACTAGCCCCTTGCTCCCGGCATTTTAGTCGCCTCTTACAACACGCATGGCTTACGGAGGAAGAATTCTGTTCCACTTCCCCATGGAGGTAAGAGGAAATAAACAAGAACAAGAACTAGAAAGAAAATAGAAGAAAACCCAAAGGGGTGTGTATATATATGCTTGTACATGTATGTGTAGTGTGACCTAAGTGTAAGTAGAAGTAGCAAGACGTACCTGAAATCTTGCATGTTCATGAGACAGAAAAAAAAAGGACACCAGCAATCCTACCATCGTGTAAAACAGTTACAGGCTTCAGTTTTACATTTACTTGGCAGGACGGTAGTACCTCCCTGGGCGGTTGCTGTCTACCAACCTACTACCTAGGATGCCTTTTCTAAATCCATAAATGCAATAAAAACTTCCCTACCTTTATCTAAATACTGTTCACATATATGCTTCAATGTAAACACTTGATCTACACATCCCCTACCCACTCTGAAACCTCCTTCCTCATCCGCAATCCTACATTCTGTCTTACCTCTAATTCTTTCAATTATAACCCTACCGTACACTTTTCCTGGTATACTCAGTAAGCTTATTCCTCTATAATTTTTACAGTCTCTTTTGTCCCCTTTCCCTTTATATAAAGGGACTATACATGCTCTCCGCCAATCCCTAGGTACCTTCCCCTCTTTCATACATTTATTAAACAAAAGTACCAACTACTCCAACACTATATCCCCCCCTGCTTTTAACATTTCTGTCATGATCCCATCAGTTCCAGCTGCTTTACCCCCTTTCATTTTACGTAATGCCTCACGTACCTCCCCCACACTTACATTCTGCTCTTCTTCACTCCTAAAAGATGGTATACCTCCCTGACCAGTGCATGAAATTACTGCCTCTGTTTCTTCCTTAACATTTAAAAGTTCCTCAAAATATTCTCGCCATCTACCTAATACCTCACTCTCCCCATCTACTAACTCCCCTACTCTGTTTTTAACTGACAAATCCATATTTTCCCTAGGCTTTCTTAACTTGTTTAACTCCAAAAATTTTTCTTATTTTCATTAAAATTTCTTGACAGTGCCTCTCCCACTCTATCATCTGCTCTCCTTTTGCACTCTCTCACCACTCTCTTTACCTTTCTTTTACTCTCCATATACTCTGCTCTTCTTATAACACTTCTGCTTTGTAAAAACCTCTCATAAGCTACCTTTTTCTCTTTTATCACACCCTTTACTTCATCATTCCACCAATCACTCCTCTTTCCTCCTGCCCCCACCCTCCTATAACCACAAACTTCTGCCCCACATTCTAATACTGCATTTTTAAAACTATTCCAACCCTCTTCAAACCCCCCCCCCCCCCACTACTCATCTTTGCACTAGCCCACCTTTCTGCCAATAGTCGCTTATATCTCACCCGAACTTCCCTGAATCCCTTCACTAAATATTACCCTGCTCACAATACAACAGCTCGTCAGGTCCCAAAAACCATTCGTCTCCATTCACTCCTATCTAACACGCTCATGCACGCCTGCTGGAAGTCCAAGCCCCTCGCCCACAAAACCTCCCTTAACCCTTCCTTCCAACCTTTTCGAGGACGACCTCTACCCCGCCTTCCTTCTACAGATTTAAATGCTCTCCATGTCATTCTACTTTCATCTATTCTCTCTAAATGACCAAACCACCTCAACAACTCCTCTTCAGCCCTCTGACTAATATTTTTATTAACTCCACACCTTCTCCTAATTTCCACACTCCGAATTTTCTGCATAATATTTACACCACACATTGCCCTTAGACAGGACATCTCCACTGCCTCCAACCGCCTCCTCGCTGCTGCATTCACAACCCAAGCTTCACACCCATATAAGAGTGTTGGTACTACTATACTTTCATACATTCCCTTCTTTGCCTCCATAGATAACGTTTTTTGACTCCACATATACCTCAACGCACCACTCACCTTTTTTCCTTCATCAATTCTATGATTAACCTCATCCTTCATAAATCCATCCACCGACACATCAACTCCCAAGTATCTGAAAACATTCACTCCTTCCATACTCCTCCTCCCCAATTTGATATCCAATTTTTCTTTTATATAAATCATTTGATACCCTCATCACCTTACTCTTTTCTATGTTCACTTTCAATTTTCTACCTTTACACACCCAAACTCATTCACTAACATTTGTAATTTTTCTTTAGAATCTCCCATAAGCACAGTATCATCAGCAAAATGTAACTGTGTCAATTCCCATTTTGTATTTGATTCCCCATAATTTAACCCTTTCAGGGTCCAAGGCCCAAATCTGGAGTCATGCACCAGTGTCCAAGAATTTAAAAAAAAAAAATTGTTATTTTTTCTTATGAAATCGTAGAGAATCTTTTTGTGAAGGTAATAAAACAAAAAGTACGAAATTTGGTGGAAAATTGACGAAATTATGCTCTCGCGAATTTTGATGTGTCAGCGATATTTACGAATCGGCGATTTCGCCGACTTTGACTCCCATTTTAGGCCAATTACATTATTCCAATCAACCAAATTCTTAGCTATTTCACTAGTATTACTTCTATTCTATCGATTGAGCACAAGAAATCGCCAAGTCAACTGTTTCAACTACAAAATAAAGTGATCGGAAATTGTTAATTTGGCCAATTTAACACAAAGTTCAAAATATTCCAATTTCAAAATAGGGTCCAGAATAAACAATGTAGGCATTCCTGGCACTAAACTAACATTTCCTCTGTTCATTAGTTGTGTTTTGAGGCTTTATAAATAAATACCATTTTGATTTTTTATTCACATAATGAATTTTTATTCACACCAAAAAATAGAAGATTTACTGTTATGCAATACTGTAATAATTGTATAAATATCATCACCATATTTGTGAATGTATATTAGACCCACCAGCTGACGTGTATTAGACGTGTGAGGTCGTTTGTTTACTCTTGAATATCGGCAAAAATTTAACATTTCCGCTACTTTGAGCTCAGTTTCAAGCCATTTCCAGTGCTAAAACCAATCAAAATCATCTCTATTTCTGAAATATGTCTTCCATTCTATCAAATGAGACCAAGAAATCGCAAATACAACTATAAAAAAACATACGAAAAAACACTGCAAAGTTGCTGTTTTAATCGAAAAATCATGATTTCAGTTTTTTTCTCTCATTATACACAGTGTGCTGCAGGATCTATTTTATGTGGTGCACACATACCACATAGATGTATTCTCTCATATCTAGGCCCAA